TAATGATATGACAATGACACTTACAAAGACAAAGATAATGGCATTGATAATGATAACAACAATAACAGTGACAATGATTATGACATTAAAAACATTAAGAATAATGATACTGACATTGTCACTATACTAACAATATGATTATTACTGTTGTCATAATTATATTTACAGTTTTGGTGGTGATTATTAATATTAGTGAAAATTGTCGTTGTTAGTAATAATACAATAATCATTAACACCATTATAATTATAAACATCGTTCTTTGTTGTATGAAAAACATCATTATCACGTCAGTAATAATATTTCATATATTATTTACCATAACCAGTATCAAAATCTTGCCGATTATCGTCATTAGATTTTTAGTTATAATCATTATCACTGTATTATTGCCATCACTGGACTTTTGTAATTATTATTATCACTGTAATGCTGCCATCATTACTGTATATTTTTTCATTGCTGTATTTATTTTCAGTATTAGTATCAAGATCTTCATCACCAGAACTATTGCCATCATCACTATTATCATGATCTTGATGTTATCATTCATACCATCATTATCAGAACAATCACTGCATATGTCTCTTCGTTAGTATTACCATCTCTATTACCATTATTAATATATTATCGCTTGTACTGGTGTTTTTATCACCAATACAATAGGAAATTTGAGCATTAGCCAAACTAACCACAAGAACGACAGTAAAATCAACAATATTATGGTAAATGGTGTAGTGCAATGCAGTTAATGTTTTTTACTGATAATTTGCCATTCACTTCCTAGTATCTTCCCCATACTACTTATACAGCATCTCATGACCCGGCTACACAACCGTGTTTTCGAAATCATTGCTCGGAATATTCATACTGTATAATACGTCTGACGTACAGTCATACAGGATGGAGTAATGTCTGTGTTGATATGAATATATATGTGCTGCACATATACGTGTGTATGAATGGCATCTGGCGCATTATTCAAAGTGTACTGCGCAGTTTTGTTTTAGTTATCAGCCTGAGCCTGTCAGGAGTTGGACGATAGTACGATAATGTGGCTACATAGATACAATAGATAAGATCACATCGTTAGCTTGCCGACCATATTTTTATAGTTTCTATACGGTAATACCTCTTCCGTGTATGCAATCCAGATCAACAGGGTGATTATCAAGAGAAACTCTTTTCGTAGAAACTAAATCTTAAACAAGCAAATGCGTTATCGGTACTTCCTAATGCATGGCGATTTCTGGCAATCTCGCGACCTTCTGCCATATACACATACCGTAGCACGCTGAGCTATCGTTTACGTGACTAGTGTGACTCACATACTCACGAGGTTAGTTGTAGGACAGTGAAGGATCAGTGAATCACAGGGCAATTTACTCTTCCATAGGGAAATAAAACAGGTAATTTTTATGTATGTAGTATTTAGGAAACCATATGGTACCCTTTGACACTTGTGGGAGAAAAAAATGTGTGAAATACCAATTTAAAATATTAAATTTACTCTTTCTCTACTATTTCCCTCACGTATCATGTACATGTATTTCATATATTTAAATTAAGATTTAATTTTAAATTTATTTATCTATACTGTTAGTCATATTTTGATCTTGGTCCAACTGATCATGCAAGAAAAATAACCTATTTTGCGTTTCAGAAGTCATGACTGCCATGCCAACAGATTCACTCAAGACCTGGGAATCTGCCTTCATTGCTTATCTCCGAGATTCAAATTACCACAATACCCAGCTCAGGGAAAACAACATCAAGAATATCTATAACATGTTATTTGTGTATGAGTGCCGAAACAAGAATATGGGTGAGCCTCCCCAAATAGAAGAGCTAATGATATTCATGATAGAAAATGGGACTTTATCACGTGA